AGCTCAGATTTTCTAGGTATTTGTAAATAAACTTTAATATGTTTCTTGATCAGTGTCACTGTCTAGTGGTCCATTACTATCATTAAGGTATATGGTGGATTTGTTTAAGAAGCTGGAGGTACCCTGCACATATAAAATAGAACATTTCCCCTGTAGTCCTTCAAATACACAGCCCTCTAGTTACTAACACAGCGGCTGTGCAAATGAACGACGCTATTTCTGGAAGTCAGGATGCCTTCCAACATGCAAGCTGTATTTAACGGCAGCTTTATAACGCGGTGTTTCCAAAAGCACTCGTAATGATGCTAACAAGAACTCATGCATTCAAAATCCCACCCAAGAGACCCACGGGCCATGTTGTCTGAAGACAACTGGAGCACCTTCGAGCTTCAGGCAATGCAGAGCGTAAGCCATGGCACAGCCAAGACCGCCTGTGAGACTTAGGAAGGGTGCTGGAAGGATAAGGTACAGCGCTCTGCCACAAAGCCTCTATGCCACCATCTACTGCACATGACATTGGCACCTTGGTTCACAATCTGGCCAAGATTTTCAAGATTCATTTGCTGTCAACACAAAAATATCTACTGTCGTCCTGTTGCTGCGATGATCCACTTACCGTACAAATGCAACGGCATGAGGAGACAACACTGCTGAATAGGATGAAGACCTTGGGATTTAGATGCTCTGTTAGCAGTTGCACCACTTGCCCCGAGCCCGTGGAGCACAAGGCGCAGTAAGAAGGACTCACCCGTTTGGTGTAGTCCATCGCCTTCAGGATGGACAGGTTCAGCGTCTCCAGTGAGGCCAAGACGTCTTCGTAGTCTCCCATATGATCAGCAAAATAGTCTGGGAAAACCAAGAGGGACATGATGGGAACTGCTGATGTAACAACACTTCAAGGCTACGTGACACAGCAAGGTCTATTTATCGGTGGAAAGAAAAACCTGAGAGGGTGCTTTCAGGTATGACCTGAACCAAAGTCACAGCTCGTCCTGCAAGGATGGGAAGTGGTGCAATTCCCGTGAATTACCATTGTAAAAAAAGAGATGTAAGGCACAGTAGCTCCCATTGAAAATAACTTAGCAGGTGCTTTATTTCCGTGCCCACTTCTGCACTTGACCGTATCTTGGCTCCCTCCCTCCTATTGCCAACAGGGAGGGAGAAGTCTCAAAAGAAATCCCCTTTCCATTCCCTTGACAGTCTTTACCACTCAAAGCATCCAAATACCTGCCAGGTTCACCCCTTTTTTTTCACAGGCTGCACAGGCTTCTGAGAGCAAAATATGCCTCGAAAGGAAGAGCACAGAGCTGCAAGCTGGGCCCAAAAGCCCTCCCCAAAGAGGGAGTTCACGCTTTCTCTTACGGCGGGGGTGGCCCGCACCAGGCTGCCCCGCAGCTCCGGCAGTGGCCAGATGCAATCCCAGCCGCTCTTCACTCATGCAAAATACAGCCAAAATCGGTGTGTCCCCACACGGCCGACGGCTCCATGACACATGTGAGCCCCGGTGCAGTTTCTGCATGAGCTACAGAGTCCTGAAGTTTGCTGTTCACAACGGAAACAGGGAGAAGTGAAGTGCGGTGGCGAGGCATGCAGTGAGTTTGCCGTGTAGATGTGAAGTTACCCAGTTTCTGGGTGATTGACACAGACTACAGCTAAAAGCTGTTCCTTAAAAGCCACCAGTGCCGTTCCTTAGTGCTAAGACACGAAGCTTCATCTCTGTGGAATGCAACAAGACATAAACTCCAGGAAACAATCCCACTAATTAGCTTCTCTTGGCTTAATTAGAAGTGCCTATAGCTATTTACAGCCTGAGAACATATCCAAGGGGAAGAAGATTTTGGCAGAAACTGGAATGTCACAGCATGATTGACAGCAGCTATTTGCTGTTCCACAATAAGCCAAACAGCTTATTCTCACTGCAGCGTGTTTATTTGTGTTATTCTTATTACTTTATTTGGGAAAGAAAAACTGAGCAGATCTTAAAGGTAAAGACTTTTTGCAAGTCCTGAAATAAAAAGCTGGACCCATACATTTCAGGAGAAATGAGCTGCTGTGGGCAGAGCACAGCCCTCGAGCCCGACCAAGGAGCACCTGGGAGGAAAACGGCGTTGACTTAACCAAAGTATTCAGTTCTACTGTTTTAGCCTTATTTATTCATGTGAACATCCGAGATCAGCTCCTCCTGTCCTACACAGTTCTTGCTCATGGTTCCTACACGTCTGCGGAGAGCAATGGGATCAATGCGCAGGAGATGAGCATCACTGCAGCCCGGGGCTGGTGTGGGAGGAGGTGGGTGCCCCCCACCCACCTGTCCCCAGCAAAGCCGTCACCCACCACCCTGGTAGTCTGCAATGGGTCGATGTGCATCTCCTGTTTGTAGAGTACACCTCAGTTCACTGGACAGCTTGTTCCATTGCATGCAATGTCTGTGTTTCAGTTAAACTGAAAGGTAGCAGGTACAATTTGGTAGCTGCACGCGCATTTTCTGGGTGTATTAAGTGCTCTTAATACACTGGAAACTCCTCTAGGGGTAAGGAGCTACACAACCTTGTTTAAGTCAGTCTAGGTGCTGGTGATTGTTGCATTCGTTGGCAGGAAAAAAAACCCAGAACTTTATAAGATCCTACCTGATACGAATTAAGCCATATCATCAAATTTCTCATACAAGCTGCAGGGCTCAAGAAATCCCTTTTAAGAGCTCTCAACATCTTACAACACACAACCCATTTCAAGAGCGAGACCACAGCTTCCATTTTGCCAAAATGAGGTTTTATGTTTAAACTAATATTTAGAAGAGTAGCAAGCGAATAAGAAACTGCAGGCAAGGGCAGATATTCAGTAGATAACGGATCTAGGCAGGATTTTGCGCTGATCGATCCTTCCTCCGGCTTCCCACAGGAGGTGATGGGTTTGTCTCCCTCCTGGCAGCTTCACCCCTGGGAGAGGCAGCGAGGTGGGATCACGCTGGATGACAGCCGTGTGATTTTCTGATTTTATCAGACTGATGGAGAAAGCAGGGTGGGGCCAAGCAACGGCGTTACTACCCCTGTATTTCCTGGGAAAGCTGACGGTACAAGCTGTGGGGTTTTGGTTTCTTGGGTCAGCTGGCAAGGAGACCTAACACAATGAGAAAGGAGCGATGGGAAAAAGCCCACTGTATCATCAGCAAACCAAAAGGGTTTTATGAAAGGCTTCGTTTCGTGCATACAAAAGCAACAACAAGCAGCTGAAAGGTTGCTGCCTTTGCTGCAGGCTTGAACGCTCAAAATCCTGTGGGGTGCTGCGGGCGGTGAGAAAGGCAGGGTGGGGGTAGGGGTTAAGTACACCGGGAGGAGAGAAACCCTAGGCAATGTCCTGGTGCAGGCAGACTCGCAGGCTGCGATGGACGGAGAGGTCTTAAAAGTATTGGGAATAACGAGTAACCGCCTGGTGCTGGCACAGGCGCCCTGGCAAGCGCCTTTCTGGCTGCGCAACCCGCTCTCAGCCCGACCTCTGAAGGCTGCAGTTAGTGGCAAAGTGATGAAGGTAAATGGTGAAGACCTGCCGAGGTGGCTTTATGTGGTCTTCTGCATCCCAGCACGGGAGGGGAGGAGAAGAGACGGATGAGCCCTATGCAAGGCCACACACCTCTGTCTCCCCATCTCCTCCCAAAAAGCTGGAGCGCAGGAAACGTTTCCCAATACCAAGTGTCCATGGAAAAATACACCCAAGTGAGCAGCAGGAGCCCCGTGCACGAGTCACCTCCCATCGAGGCAAAGCCCTTCCTGGCAGGAAAAATTCCCTTTCTGGTCCAGGTGTGGGACAAAACATTATCAGAGATTTTCTTTTCAGGCTTTGATTTCTGCAAGCCGTGGGAGGTGCAGCAGAGGTGGCGTACACCTTAGGCAGCCTGCTGGGCAACACGAAGGTTTGCCTAAGGAGAAACACGTTATGGGTATTGCAGAGGGATACTGGTTTACGGAACTTCAGAGCAGAGCTGGAAGCCATGACATTGCCAGAAATTAAACTCCAGCTTGTTATTGAACGGGAGCCAGGTGCTCCACTCAGCTCTGACCCCCTTTGTGTTGCAAGAAAATGAAGAAAAGTTTTGCCAGTTTTCCGGTGGAATAAGGGGTGAAGCAGCAGAAGTGCTGAGACCCCCCAGCTCCGCAGCCACCACGGCACCGCCAGCTTTGTAATGGGTTTCATGCATCCTTCGAAAGCGCACGTGCACGTAACGATTGCTTTTGCCCCAAGAGAGGGACCGCACTCACCGCACAGCTCTTTGGTGTCCACATTGCTGGAAGAGGGGGAGGACGAGGCAGGGGAGGAAGCAGGAAAAAAAGAGAGAGAAAGACGATTTTAATGTAAAGGACAGACGAAGGCTACAGTTAGGATTTCTGCAGGCTTAACCCCAGATACCCACCTGCAACGTCACCCGCCCCCTCAGCATCCCCCAGGTACCGGTGGGGACAGCCTAAGGAGAAGGCAATGGTTGGTGCCACTCAGGGTGCCCACACACCTCTTCAGCGTCTGCGCAGTTGGGATGGGTTCACACGTTATTTTGGATATTCCCCGAGGGGAAAATGGGGACTTGTGCATCCCCCCGAGGGTGGACCTGTGCCTATGGGGGACCCGGCACAGCAGCTCCTCTGCCTTCCTCCCAGATATCCACCCTGGCAACACCCCGGTGAGGCACCCGACACGGCACAGGAATGTGTTTGTTCCCATTTGCTCAGAACAAAAATTTGCAAAATTTACTTTTCTAGATGGATCGATTCTGCCGGTTCTGCCCCTGCGAAGCATCCACGGGGCTGTGCACAGTTCCCGCCCGGGACTCCCTCCGGACAAAACTGCACAATTACTTCTTAATACATGAACACTTAGTTTACGTAACGACATCTCAACAGACAACCTGCTCGGGAAATAAAGATTGCTGCTAATCTCTTTGTGCCTCAGATTCCCACACAATTATTAGTGCCATTCAAGCACTGGAATGATCTCTTAATAGAATTATATTTTATCAATCCGTTTACGTCCTGGAAAGCTATTTCTTTAACTAAACTCATCCCTGCTCTGTCTGA